GTGGGGTTAGGTGCCTCCTTTTTAAAATGGTACAGTTTCGTATGACTGAACTTGTATGAATTAGCCACTAAACTGACAAAAATACTTACTTTTTCTCGTGAGATCAGGCTGGAATTGCTCACACAGATAAATTCCCCCTTCTAAGCTATCTTAAAGACATCTGAATATATCTGCATTTAAGAAACAGTCCAGAAAACATAGACAAATGCTTAAGCACATCAAGCACCCCTGTAGAATCAGGTCTGATTTAATATCAATATCAATCATGAATCAATAAAAACAAACAAACAACAACAAAAACAACATGTATGCTAAAAATATTTTGTACCTTTGAGACTTTGGAAGAATTGCATTTTAAAATAGTGCAGAATAACAGAACATCTTATGTGCAGCTGTTCTAATATTGTCTGTTATACTGCCAGTCAAGAAGAGTTATTTTATTTATATTATATTAATAGATTAACTCCAAGTTTCACAAACAAGGTTTAAGGCTAGTCAAGATTAAATTGCATGTTTAACCTGTCTCAACTCAAAATAACTTTCAGTGAGATGTCTTAAAATACATTAGTGTCATTATTGTTCTCCAGGTGCACACCGGTAATATATTTGTCTAAGGCCCTTTTTATAAATTTGGCTTAAATAGACTTATTAAACTAAGGCCTAGTCCTGGCTTAATCTAAGCCCTGTTTGTGAAACTGGGCCTAAGTGTTATTTTATTTATTTATTTAGAAAATTTACACCTGTTCCTTGCTTTAATTTTTTTAGAAATCAAATAAGATTTTCTTCAGATGTTTCATGTTAATGTATTTGAAAAATTATTTGGGCAAAAAAAAGTGTTTTTATTAATTTAATTTATTAATTAAATTTAATTCCAAATATATTAAAAAATGCACAAAAATGGTCAAAATATTACATATAAATAATAAATAAATAATACACATATATATATATATATATATATATATATATATATATATATATATATATATATATATATATATATGTATGCATATATAGGCCATTTGTGTGAATTTTGAAAAATATAAATATTTTTAATTTCACTGTGCAGAATTATAAGCTCAGTAAGGTGTAAATCAGTTTCATAAAACTTATCTTTATTTCTAATTAAGTTCCTATTTAAAAGGCTAGCCCAGCCATCATAAATGAGCTACAGAACAGGAGAAAGGACTCCTGATGAAGTTCATTGTCCACCTGATCTTCATTCTTCATGTGCTATTGAGGTAATAAAACCATCTGGGGCCCTTTCTGTCCCCTGCCTGCCCTGAGAACATATGCGGATCCAGATGCTGCTGTAAATGCAGTCCACTTCTCTGTGATCCTCTAGATTTGGGAACTGAATGTTCCCTCCATGCTGAGAGGGGAACAGACGCTCTCAGCACCGAGTGGCAGAGATGCAGGCATTCGCTCAGTGAATGGGTGAAAGGAACTAGTGCCCTTAATTCACTGAGGCTCACTGCTGACTGAGAGCTACAACAACACACTAATGCTTCTTCAGACTAATACAACCAAGAGTGGCATGCACCTATATTTCAGAGGACACTCACACATACTCATGCGATATCTTTAGACATTTTTTAATTGACTACACATGGGTAAAATAAAAATAAAAACATCCACTTTGTGGAAAAGTGACTTACAAAAGTGTGAAAATGTTCGTAGATTATAATTTAATTTAGAATTTAAAGACTTAATTAATGTGTGATACTTAGTATTAAATTAAGGGTTTATATAATAAAATAATATATTACAATTTTTATTTAAACACAACCAACTTCAGGATCTTTGTTTTGATCTTCAACACAGACCCACATATTTATATATACACAATATATATGCTAATATCATATCATATTAAAGTAATTTTTTTATCTGTTAAGCTGCTAATTTGCAACTTTATTTTTACTAGGTTACATGATTTTGGTAGAAACATCTGGCTACCCTGAAGGTATCAGCACATATTCAAATAAATTTTCCCAATCATGAAATATCTGCTGAATAACCTATTTATCTGAATATACTTATTTATCTCTTTTTTTATGTATCTTGCTTAAATCCAGGTTCACTAAACATTTTTTTCAGCAACTGAAGACAGAAGTTTTGGCATATTTTGATTAATATTTTGAGTAACACGACAAGAATACTGCTGGGTAAGGCTTATTTAATTCTATCCTATTTTTCCATCCAGTCCTGCGAGTGACTGTCCCCCTTTCCCTGATCATTCACCCCACCTTGTACCGTCCCACACAAAGCTCTCCATTCATGCCTTCCTCTCGGTCTGCTAGTGTTACACAGTGAGCCCTGCTAAATAATACAGAAGCACAATGAGACAGTAAAGTGCTGCATTAATCTTTCAGCTCCCATAACATCAAGGTAATTGTTCATAATTATTGTATAATACTATAGGGCAAAGTTTGAAAATGTATGTAAAATGTCTGGAAATATGAAGTGACCAGACACACTATGTAGTTGTTATTAGGGTCAATTCAGTGTGTGTGAAATAAAACCTCGAAAGCAAAATTGAAAGCATGGAAGATTAGTTTTTTTTTTTTACTTTTAGGAATTAAAGTACTATGAAACTTTTCTCTCTCTACCTCTCTCTCTCTCTCTCTCAAACACAAACACACAGTGTGATGTACTCTTACAATTGTGCAAAATAATCAAACTTCACCATATTTTTAAAATGTGAATAGATTCTTTGTTAAATCACAATCTTTAAATCAAAGTCGAGGTTTATTTTAGCTAGAAGGAGTAAGTGAAAAAAAATGAAAGTTTGCTCCTGAGTTGTGGATGAAATATAAGCTAATTACAATTATACTCGACAAAAGGGCTGACAGACTTCTATTTAAAGTTGTATTTTGCGGGGTTTAATGTATATGAAAACATCAAAATAAAGTTTAAGTCTATTGGAATCTTTTAGTGAAAAAAGTAAGGAGCTGAGAGACATGACACTATGCATAAACATGACACGATGCACTTATATTCAGCAGTCTACATGTCTTTGTTGCCTCATTACAAACATGCATGACAAATTTCACAATATACACGTTAAACTAAAAAAGATCAAACAGATCATGTGCCTCTTTGGGAGGCACTGAATACATTTATAATCCATCTTTCCTGAATTTTGTTTTCTGACAACCAGCTGTTATAATATATGTCATGCTACAAGGAAACAATGGTATTACTTTATTCTATAATGCTTGGTGATTCATACAGTAAAATGTAAATAGCTACAGGCACTTCAAGAGCCAAAAAACAAACAATAATAATTCCCCGTGGCTGATGATATAGAGGGGATATAAAGTAAAACAAATGGTCTGTGCAAAAACTCAACTTTATTTACGATATTATTATCATCTTTAATTAACCAATTTCTATTTAATCCATTCAATCTTAAATGTAGAAGGGATGAGGCTGACTAAATTGACAGGAAATAAAAATTTTTGGGTGAACTAAACCATCCATAGAAGTCTGAACCTGATTAAGAATCATCAATGAGACTGATGAAAAGCAGATCATCTCAAGTACTTCTGTGCCTAAGGAAGTTACATTGATGAAGACGCTGTAAATGGATTAATATGTCATTACCTTAACAGCCTGCAGCACATGATAATTGATAGGAAATGTGATTCTGTTAATCAAGGCCAGACTGTGACTGCAGGGTGAACCACAATGAACCCTTGTAATGTAATACATACTACAAGAAGACTGTACAGACTGCTAACATCTAAAAGGTCCCAAAAATAAACTGCTAAAACTAGTTAATTAGTTTTGTGTATTATTCAGTTTGTTTTTTTCCTATATTCCTAAATTACTTGATCACTTACTAAAGGATTATTTTTGTACAAGAATTTCTTTTTACGTGTTCAAAATCATGGCAATAATTTGGTACATGAACTCTAAAATGTATGTAATCCAACATTTACTACTAGATAAGAATGCCCTTGATGGGCATTGATAGTATATATATATATATATATATATATATATATATATATATATATATATATATATATATATATATATATATATATATATATGCGCAGTATTTCTGCTTTTTATTAAAATACTGCAGAGGGCTAGCTGCCGGCTAACTATTATTATAAAATATTCATATAGAGGTATAAAGGCTGTAAAACCCCTCACTCCACCATTTTCTCAGATAGGCATTAACATTTTCACACTTTTCTCTCATTTAAACACTCAAATAACTTCTACCTTCCTTTAGCATGGCCAAAAGTCCAACTTTTTGTGTGATGGTTAGCATTTTGGGTGCCACTGTGGGTGCCTTTGATGGTGTAGAATGTTTCGTCGACATTATGGGACATCATTTGTTAGGAAGAAAACTTGCACTTGAAATTCAGTCCAGCACTACACTGCTAGCAAGCAAAGATTTATGTCAATTTGGCAAGCTGAATGTATTCTGTCCTGTATAGGAGACATGGCAGGAAGTAGATTGACAGTGGTCTACAGCCAATCAGGACGCAGAACACGAAAGGTGAACTGCATTATGGCAAAGGACCACTGTATATAATATTCAAATACAAGTATAATTTTGATTGATATAATAGAAATAACTTATTTGCAACAAGTGTGTAATTTTTGTGTAAATTGTATTATTTTGGAGCAAAAATGATGCTATCGCAAATTAGTAGTTTTATGGCATCAGCTATAGATGTCTTACTCAGAGCTGATTGGTCCAGTTTGGGACTGTTATCTTTAACCCAAAACACTACCTGCTCCGGAGAAGGTTAGCCATGTTACTGTGTTAAAGTAACCCGATTAAAACCAACCCACTTCTGAGCCCTAAAACTATGCTCAAAAAAATATGCTCAAACTAAATGCCAACTTACCTACGTTAAAAACCTAAACTGCCTTTGTACAGCAGGCCTCTAGATTTTGCGCTATCCACTTTTGACTGGATTGATGAAACAGCTTAGAAGTATTTTTTTGTGAATGAAGTGTAGTCTGTGACTCACCTTGTGCGAGTAATGTGGGTCGACAATGCGTGCCAGGCCGAAGTCTCCGATCTTCAGCAGCATTTGCTCTGTGTTGATAAAGATGTTCGCTGGCTTCAGGTCACGATGCAGCACGTTGGCCGAGTGGATAAACTTGAGCCCTCGAAGCAGCTGATAAAAGAGCAGGGTGGCATGTTCTGCTGGTAACGGCCCTTGTTCGAGTAGTCGTGCCAAATCAGTCTCCATACACTCTTGCACTATGTATATGGCCGCCACATGAGTCAAGTCCCGTGGCAAAGGGTGACCAGACGAGCCCAACACGTCATACACCCGGACCACGTTCTCATGCTGAAGGCGGCGGGTGATCTTTACTTCCCTCAGAGCGTGTTTTACGCTGACGGCATCTCGCATTACCAGCTTTTTCACTGCCACACGAAGGCCGCTGCGCCTGTCTAGTGCAGAAAGCACCAGACCGGATGCTCCTGTGCCCAGAGGACGCAAATCCTGGTACTGTGCCCCCAGGTCAAAGCCATACCGGAATGGTGATGTGTTGTGCCAGGCCATTTCTTAGAGAGGAGAAATCAGGCATTGCCTGTGAGAGGCTGTAGAGAGTGAGGAGAGTAAATACAATTTAATAAACTCTGATTATAATGCATGTAGATCAGTGTTTCTCAACCACATTCCTGGAAGACCACCAGCTCTTCACAAATTTCCATGTCTCCATACCCAAACATACCGGATTCAGGTCTTCAGCTCATTAGCAGAGACTGAAAGACCTGTAATGGCTGTGACAGACAAAGGAGACATCCAAAACATGCAGTGTTGGTGGTCCTGCAGCACCATGGTTGAGAAACATAGCTGTAGATTACACAAAAATATGTTGTTCATTTACTCATGCTCATTGGCTTTTTTTCATCAGCAGAACATTAAAAAGACTTATAGCTGAAACTGTGGTCCTTGGTGATACATAAAATGAAGTCAACAGTGTTTTTCTGATGATACACAAGCATTGGAAAATGGTCCTCAGAGTGTTTATAAAGGTCTGCTTTTTCACATAAAGCTGTATGCACAAACACACATAAAGGAAAGCTGTTTGATAACAACTTTTTAATATTTGAACCATCAAGGAATGGTACATGTACCATTTTGATGAAAAACAAAACACATTGGAGGCCCTCAGAGCTAAGAAACTGCAATCATTCATTTTCCTTCGGCTTAGTCCCTTATTTTTCAGGGATCACCACAGCAGAATGAACTGCCAACTATTCCAGCATATGTTTTACTCAGCGGATGTCCTTTCAGCCACAACAAGGTACTGGGAAACACCCATTCACATTCAAACACAAACTCATACACTTTGGCCAGTGTGATTTATTCAATCACCCATACTGCTTGTCTTTGAACTGTGGGGTAAACCGGAGCACCTAGAGGAAAGCCTTGCGAACACAGGGAGAACATCCAAACTCCACACAGAAATGCCAACTGAATCAGCCGGGACTTGAACCAGTGACCTTTTTGCCATGAGGTGACAGTGCTTAACAAGACAGTGTTTAATATTTCTTTATTGATATTTTTGCTGTTTTGAAACTCAAGCAGTGGAACATGGGAAAATAACAATAGTGCTGCCATACTGGAGATTTGAATTCCAACCAATAAAATGACACACCTTCAATTCACTGCACATAATGTTTATGAAAATATCCTTAAAAGGTGCCCAATATAACCATATATATTTTTTTATAAACATCATGGATGTAATTTCATGATTTTTATGCACATTCCACAAATTTTGCAAGCATGCTTTTGACACTAAATGAGAAACTGTCACAAATTTAAATCAAGCAATTAGTCAATATCTTGTTTTAACCTGTATTTCTGACAACTTTTACTTTTGAACATAATTCATTCATTCATTTTCTTTTCGGCTTAGTCCCTTTATTAATCAGGGGTCGCCACAGCGGAATGAATGGCCAACTTATCCACCATATGTTATTATGCAGCGGATGCCCTACCAGCCGCAACCCAGTACTGGGAAACACTCACTGTCCAGTTTAGCTTAAACAATTCACTTATAGCACATGTGCTTGGACTGTGGGGGAAACAAGAGCACCGGGAGGAAAAGCCAAGCCAACACAGGGAGAACACAAAGAAATGCCAACTGATCCAACCCGACTCGAACCAGCGATTTTCTTGCTGTCAGGCGACAGGCTACCCACTGCTAATAGGGCTGCACAATATATAGTTTAAGCCTCAATATCACAATGTGCAGATCCGCAATAGTCACATCGTAAGATAAGCAATAGTACATAGATTTTATAGGATTTATGAAAAAAAATAAAAAATTTCTCACTTAGAATTTGTCTTTTTTCTAGTCTAAATATCTACTTTTCAAAGTGAAAACAGTATTATTTCATTTCCCCATTAGTGGATATTTTTCTTGTTTTAAAGGAAAAACCTCTGAAGTTGATTACAAAACAATATTATGCTTCATATATTTTTTAGATATATTTTATATATTACAAACGAGACAACTGTCTCGTTTCTGTACCTGAATACTGTTAGACTCCCGGAAAGAGCTATTCAAGCTATCTGTTGAAAAGGTATTCATATTGCAATAGTTATTGCAGAAAAATTAATTATCACATAATCAGATTTTTCCAATATCATAAAAATCTAACAATAGCAAATAACAATCTAATAACAAGCTCTAAATTTACTGAAGTGCAGAGTTTTTTTTTTAGAATTTACATCTCTTTACAACTGCAGCTGCATAAAGCGAAATTTAAAGTCAGCATGAAACAGAAGCTGCAATAATCTTTTCTTTCCTGTTGCAATGCATATAAGGAAAACAGGTGCAGGATGGGTTGATCTGATCATCAGGATTTATTGGATAGTTGTAGCTTAATATTGATCTCATGTGAGTGACAGAACATACCAGTGAATGCGATTTCAGAAAATATAAGAGCTGCCGCTGCAGGGGAAGTAATTCTTATTAAGGATTATGAAAGCATGGATAAATCATTTAGAACAAATGCTGCAATAGCCCATAAAAATAAGAAGTGTCTGCCTTGATTTCGCAGTGACTTTAACACCTCATCCTGAAGACGGAGATCTTAAATCTCACACTTGCATACTCTTAAAGCAATGGGGGCACAGTACTGGGTGGAATACAACTCACCACCCAAGTACAGGGCAAGTGTTTCCATAGCAACATGCCACTGTCAGCCAGTGCCTGCTGCACACAGCAAACACTCTGAAACGGAGTCTCCGAGGATTCGTCTCTACCCCAAAAAACACTCCATGTTAAATTCAAATTGAATAGAACTCCTGCACTGGAGCTGGAGGTTTTCTTGAGATGTTCGACGTGAACATTTGCAGCAGGTACTTTAAATGTGGCTGCTTTTCATGTATAATCTAAGAGCTTTCACTTGCCGTCTCCGGCTCCAGGCTGTCCTGAACCCTCCATGCTCCTCTGGCAGATATGTGTCATGCTTCTCATCTGCTCCCTTAAGTGGAGAGAAAAAAAGAGAAAGAGAGAGAGAGAAGATGTATAATTAGACACTGATCACTATTATAATACAGTACAGACAAGTGCAGTTCAGAAATAGGACCAATACATTTTATAGTTTCATTTCTTAAATGTTTTAGCAATATGGTTGCCTACAATGTTAAATTAATAACTGGCGAGAAAGCATGTAGCGTTATTCTACTAGTCTGACAAGATTAATATGTCATTTGTGGTCCAATTTAGTTCCTAAAGGTTAACTCGTTCATTTTTGTTTACCTTATTTGGCTTTTATTCAATGAAGTGCAACCGTGCCCACACACAGTTTTAGGTCCTGAAGTATTTTCCATTTATGTTTTATCACCATGGAAATTAAAAAAATCTCTGTTAAACCCTTGAATAAAAAGCTGAGACTTATTAAAATATTACAAACTTTGGTTTGAAGAAAAAGAAAATATGCAAGACTGTGTACTTAAAGTGATGGTTCACCCAAAAATGAAAATTCTGTCATCATTTACTCACCCATTACTTGTTTCAAACCAGTTTTACTTTCTTTTTTTCGTTAGTTTTATGAAAAAAAATACTTTAAAAAAAATGTCAGAAACATGTAACCTATATATTTGATTTTCTTCTTCTATAAAAAGTTGGTTACATGTTTTTCAACATTCTTTAATATATGAAGAGCTCAGATTATTGATTATGGTGATCAACTATATGCATGCAGCCTCTACTCTACTTTAAAAAAAATAGATTCTGTTTATCATGCAGCAATATGCTTTTTCACAGGTGCAGACTCATGGACGCATCACTGTATTTTGTACGATTCCTTAGATTGGTTATCTTTAAATCAAAGGAGAAAATTACATTTGAACGTATTTACTTTAAAGGCTCTTTAAGGTAAACTACCATCCTACCTTTCTAATTTGCTAACATTTCACATTAATAATCATCACACTAGATTTGGTTCCTATATTCGGTTGACAGTCTAAAGGGTATTGTCAGAACTTGGCAAATGTGTCCTAGTGCTTGGAATGATCTGCAAAATCAGCTTAATCTTGACACACTTCCGACTCTGAGTACCTTTAAACATCTTCTAAATACCTGGTGGATACCTGTAATTGTTTTTTTATGATCTGATCTTTTTGTTGAATGGTGATGTTATAATTTTGTGCTGTTGTTTTCTGTGATTTTTGTGTAAAACTTTATATGCTGCCTGCCATCTTGACCAGGTCTTAAGAAGAGGCAGTACTGTCTTAATGTGATCTCCTGGCTAAATAAAGGAAATAATAATAATAAGATGCAAAAACTTAAAAAAATGTTTGAAATTTCCATAAAAAATGAACATTTTTCTCAGCCTCCTTTGTTTATGGTGAGATATTTCACATTAAAGACTATAAAAAGGACTTCTTGTTTGCAATAAAAGTGATATTACTGAACATACACACAGGAGCTGATAAAAATACAGCATTTAGAGTTTCTTGCATTTGAGCCCTTCATATTTTCTATTGCATTCAACAGAAATAAGTCAAGAGTGAGAAAACGGTTAGCTACTTTCATTTTGGGTGAACTTTAATGGCTTCAATGAGGGAAGGTTCTACAATCCCATAAAGCATTGTGAATGGCGTAATGACACTACATATTACAGAGAAAAAAAAAAGACTATTCATTTCAAGTTGTTGGTTTGAATTAGTCACCTTTTTTTGCAACACAGAAATAATCTATTTTCTGATTGTTTTAAAAATATTTTCTGATTGTTTTATGACTTTGAATCATTTGCCTTTGGGGGAAATTGCCAGGAATAACAAACGGCAGTAAATGGTAAAAAACAATAATAATAATAAATAAATAAAACTACTTGCTCTACAGACAGTTCTTTTTATGACTGTACATTAATATATACAGTGCTCAGCGTAATCGAGTACACCCTATTTTGAAAATGAATATTTTTAACTATTTCTTAGTGAATATAGGCAATGTATTTTGGTGCATTTAAACAAAACAAATTTATTGAACAGATATATTTATTAAAATTATATTTTAGTCACAAACATATTCAGAATTTGAAAGATAATACAATTAAATTCAACCCAAATATCGCAAAAAAAAAAAAAAATCAACTGAATTTATCCATTTTTTTTCTTGTATTTTTGTCTTTTTTTGTATTCACTATTTTTCTATAATATATAAATTTGGCTGTACTAGTTTTTGGACCGTTATCACAAGTTAATTTGTTAGATAAGCTCCAGATTTGGTTTTAGTACTGACTAATCTATGCACAAATATAATATTGTATAACTTCCTATTAAAAATATTAATTTAAAAGATAGATTTGTGAGGGGTGTACTTATATATGCTGATCACTGTATATTACATGTTTGCAACATCAATTAATTAATATGAGTAGTATGAATGAAATTCAAGGATACTACATCCACCACTTAGCCATTTTCATTTGACCTACATAAATTCTGTCCTGTGGTCTCCAGGGACAGTATCTTTGTCTATTGAATGCAAACCCTGGTGAAAGTAATAGGTAATCCAGCTTTTTCTTACATACTGTTTTTTGAATACTATGATATTACACGTCTTACATTTTTTATGATTAAATACAGACAAAGCCTAGTTTTTCCTCATATGTGACAACATATGCATTACTAAATGTTGGTTTATTTATCTTTAAAGTGCGTTTATGCTTTTAAAGTGCCTTAAACACTAGATTAAAGTAAACTATGCTTAACATTATAAGTAGCAATAACTCATCAACAGCGTGACACCACGCGTCACGTGATGTAAACATGGTGGTACCCATAAACGGACAGACCCTTTCCTGTGGAATAAAGCAGATTTTTGTGGAACACTGATTAGAATATTGTTGGCTATTAATCAATACAATTCTTGTGTTTTGTTGTTGTTTTTCGAAAGCCACGTTTATTTTGATTACTTTTGAACAAGTAAAAAATACCGAGAGTGCAGAAGAATCTAGCCCAAACCAATGGACCACCAGGGGCCTGTTTCAGTAAGGAGGTTCAAACAACTCAGAGTTTAAACTTGAACTCTGAGTTGATTTACCGAGAGATTAAAAACTCAGAGTTTTCGGTTTCAGAACAGCTGATCTGAGTTGGGTCAATCAACTTCGAGTAGACCAACTCAGAGTTAAGCGCGCACACCGTGACTATAAAAAGGCATTATCAATGGAGCGCAGACATTACGAGTGACTATGGCAATATCTTATAAAAGAGATCACCATTTCTTTCTCCGGCTGAACTTGATGTTCTCATGCAAAGTTATAGCAAATATGACTGTATATATTTGAAAAGAAGCAACCATCAGTGAAGAAGAGACAGTGAGCGTGGGAAAACAGCTGCTCAAGTTAATGCCTAATTTCACTTTTTAAGTATTTAAATATTTAAGTATAATAAAATAAGTAATGAAATTTGTGACGTTTATATTTTTTTTCTAAACTTTCTTTTATACATTTATTAGTTTTAAATGATTTAACAGTGCACTTGTGTCTGCCTTTTTTATTGATCAAGTGATAGAGGTTAATATAAAATTTAGAAGGTAAGCAGTACTAAAAATTATTTTTAGAAAGAATAATAATCCCATTAATCTAGTTACAGTGCATGTCGAAGGTGAATTTAATTTAATTATTTATTAAAAAAGGATAAGCCATTCTAGTACAGTTCTTCTGTGACAAAAATGTAGGCAATAGCTATTTTCCATCCAAATATATTACATATATTTATGTGCAAAACTGGAATATTGCATAGAAGATGCGAATAAAATTCCATCCAACGAGTCAAAGAGAAAAAAATGGTCACTTCCTGATTAAACTGGCACCAAATATCAACAGTAAAAACAGAATTTACTGTGGTAGAAGAAGCTGCGTCAATTAATTCTTTATTTAGCCTAATTAATGTACTTGCGCCTCGATGTCAGAAGACAATGCTGAAACACAATGAACACGTAGGGGCGTCTGAAGCCATGAGACGCAGAGACTCTTGACACACACTAGACGTTCGGAGGTAATTAATAATATACACTAATACTGAAACAGTTAAGGCATTTTAGAATGACTAACACAATATTTAAGACATGTTACAGTGTGCTCAGCCTGCTGTTTGTCCATTTACACACATTTTCATTATCATATGATCATGATCTTTTTTTTAATGTACATACTGTAATTTGTTCAGTAAAAGTGATTCCATCGTAGATTATGCGCACATTTTCGATCGAATAAAAGTTTATGCTACTCAGTTATGCGCGTTTTTTATACATATTTTAAAAAGTTATGTGCATCATGACGTTTCTATCAATCGTTTTTATGCACGTATCCAAAATAAGCATAAAAATAGGTGGGTGGAAACGTAAGGCTAAGGCGAGAAATACCGCTTCATCTTTAAAAAAGGGGAGGAGACCGACAGAAACTCTGAGTTTAGAGAATAAAACCTGCTTCTGACCAGGTTAGATTCACAGAGTAAGTTACCACAGTAACTGACTCTGAGTTAAAGTTACCTCTCTTTCAGAAACAGGCTTGACTTACCCTGCTTTCTCGAGTTTAACAAACCTGCCATTTTGAAACGGAAAACCCAGAGTTTCTCTCATTTCAGGGTTAAAATACTCTGAGTTTTCAGTTAACCTCCTTTCTGAAACAGGCCCCAGGACTAGTGTGAGCCAAACTTTATAAATAATGCATATGACTATGGCGCTGACCGTGCAAGCGGATGCAATGTATTGTCGAACGTTAGAACAGAATGTAGCCTTATACTTTTTAAACGTACCGTAAAATAAAAAACACGGAGAACTTGTTAAGCCTGAAGACGAAGGCAAGAAAGCACACATGAAGCTGTGGGTCCAGCTGAGCACACAATAGGCAGCGCTGCATTCATTCGCCTTTGTGTGACAAACAGTAACGCCTGTATTTGCCTCAGAAATTGAGCGGATACATAGACCACCCCAAACGCAATGTATGACAGCAGTTTCACACGCAAGTCTATTTTTAAGTGACAAAAGAGCCTATAAGCGTATGAAACAGAATGTAAATTCAGATTTTGACAACACTATCTTCTTATCTTCCGGCCCATCCGCGGAGAAAACTACAAAGGCAGCGATGCTCCTGGATCTCTTACCGTCGCCCGCCTTTGTCAGCTGCTCCACGGGCTGCTCTATTTGTGTTGGAAAGAAAACAAATGAACATAGTTTTCCGTCGGGAAAGTCGTGTTTTCGTAGTTGAGAGTTTGTTATTGAATCTTGGCACCGGCGCAGTCCGGTGAATGGAGGTTTTAGTCTCAGTTTGCTGCTGCCGTGAGGAATTTTCCGTGTGTGGAGAATAACAGTAGATCTTACCGGCGATAGTCACCGGGAGGAACCGCGGAGAGAGCTTTCCTTTAAGAGACACTGCATTTGTTCGGCTCCCGGCGTCCCTCTTCTAGTGTGGAGCTACAAGCTTTTCTTTGGCAAAACTCGCTGGTGCCCCCTTGATGACGTCACGCCCTCCCCATCCATCAGACGGTGATCCTGACACCTGCGCGCTCGTGCAGGACAAACACATGATGGGCCGTGAGCGGCAGCAGGTCTGCTGGTGCTCTTAACTGCTCTGGGCATCTGGTTTTGACACGCGAAGTGATTAACTTCACAAATACGCTCGATAATATACTTAAACACACACACACACACGTTTTGAATTTTCTTTTGTAGGTTTCCACATGAGAAAAGTATTATATTGTATTTAGGCCTATAATAGTGTAGGCTATAGCTGCGTCCCAAATGGCACACTATACACTATGCACTCATGCACTATGTACTTATGCACTTACACACTCAACAGGATAGTATATGTATGTAGTGGCGTCCCAAATGGCACACTAATGTGTTTTTACTAAACGGAAATTCAAACCGTTTCCCTGATGACGTTTGACGGTTGCCAAATCAGTGAAATAAACGACCGAATTATCAGATAATACCTGCCGTGAGTATTGCCGCATTCACCATCGGGAGGCGCTAAAATCACTCTCATAGGAGAATTTTGCTTTCACCATCCAAATTAAATAAAGTTATTCAACATGTGCGTCTGATAGCTCCGCCCCTTCCGCTACGTAAGCAAACCTGCGGTCGTTGAGTGCGTGAAGTGTCCATCATTACACACTTCATTTTAGCGGCTGAATGAGTGCATCATCCGGGTAATTAAAGTGCACTTATTATTTTTAGAGTTTTCAGTGTGAACACACTACTTACACTATTTATACTACAAAATGGCGTAGAATAGTGCATAAGTATGCGATTTGGGACGCAGCTTATGTTTATAAACTATATTGTAACGTTATGCTAGCATTTACATAAATTTGTTAATTAATGCTAAATACTGTAGTATACTTTAGTTTTTACCACAGTAAACTGTGGAATATTATAGTAGTATAATACACCCTAAATGTGGAGAATACAATATTTTGTAATTAACATTCATTATTAAAGTTGGTGCACAGCAACCAGCAACAGAATGACCACAACCTATTAATGTAAGTATTTACTAGTTTAGTTCAAGTTTACTATAAATTACTAAAAATTTATTTTTTTCCATGGGCTGATTCAAATGAAAGTTTGTATACAAAAGAACAATTTTATGATCAGTATCATTTTTGTAAGATGTTCATATAAAAGTTTGTACATAATTGTACATTGATTGAACAAATGTTTAAAAAAACAACTAAAAACTACATGGGTTACAGTAAAGCTGTTTGGTTATTACATCCCTTTAGTATGTAAATGACAGTGCACATAAATTAACTAGCAACGGAGCACATGTCACTCCGCTGCTCATCCGTTTGCACTGGCTGTCAGTTGCTGCTCGCATCAAATTCAAAGCTCTGATGTTTGCCTACAAAGCGACTTCTGGCTTTGCTCCTTCTTATCTGCTCTCACTTCTGCAGATTTATGTGCCCTCCAGAAACTTGCGTTCTGTGAATGAACGTCGCCTCGTGGTTCCATCCCAAAGAGGGAAGAAATCACTTTCCCGAACTCTCGCATTCAATCTGTCCAGTTGGTGGAATGAACAAAAAAATCAATAAATAAAAATAAAAAATTACTAATCTTTTGCTTCTTACACTTTACATACCTGAAACTTGCCTACAGCACTTATTCATTGTTGCTCTTATAGTAGTGTAAATTGCTTCCTTGTCTTCATTTGTAAGTCGCTTTGGATAAAAGCATCTGCTAAATGACTAAATGTAAATGTAAACTAAAAATACGGTACATATAAAAAATTTATATTTAACCATTGTTTACAAGATTTTTTTTAAAAATCCTAAATATAATTCTAATTACTTTAGAAATAGTTAACGGCAGTCCGTTAAATTGTTAGGAAATGAGGCATGCCCAAGGTGGTAATGTGGCAATGATGCAAAGTGGCCATTACTTCTCAGGCCTGGAACTACCCGGTTCTGTACTTTAGACATGCGTTTCCTTGAAAATATTTGCAAACCTTAGAATGTTCAGCAGCCCTGTAGATTAAATTAAAATATCTTTTTATTTATTTTACAATCATACATTTTGTTGCCTGTTTGATATTTAAAATATATATATGCATTTATTTAATTTTTAATGCAAAAAGAAACAAAGTACATGTAATTTCACAATAATACACAACATAAAATAATACATTTATATATATATATATATATATATATATATATATATATATATATATATATATATATATATATATATATATATATTTTTTTTTTTTTTCTAATAATTCAAAGGCCTACCTATCATCAATTATTCCTTACATATATATATATATATATATATATATATATATGTATAATTTCCTAAATTTCTAGGTCACTGTTTGGTACTTTCATGAATATGCTTAAGTAGTTTAAGCATATTTAAATTAGTTCTTAGCACAGCATAAAATGAGAATTTTAATGAGATATTTGAAAAAAAAAATTTTTTTTAACAATCTTGAAAGATTCCTTGCAGCCATAGCAAGAGAAATTGCTCATTTTGAGTCTGATTATTTTTTTAATGTCACTAACTCATTCAAAAATCTCAGAAGGGCTGATCACCCACAAAAGACAAATGCACAAGAGGACATGACAATGTTGAGAATCTAAAGGGAAATTGATTTATCAGTGATTGGAAACATTGTTCATTATCAAACATAGGGAATTACTGAACTCATACTCCTTCAAAAACATAAAGTTCCATAGTTCATCATTCATTTAGCCAGCAAGTTGCATGAGGCACAATGGGCTATATCCACACAAACTTAATTTTCAGCCAGGCAGCTGGAGGGCTTCCAGTGAACTGTCTTTCCATTAAAAAATTGTCACGTTTAAGATCTGGTTTCTTTAAAAATCAGCGATCTTCACTGAGTGTTAGATATACAATATGAAGTGGGTCTCAGACTGGGCAAGAAGTACCGCATTAAATTCCATTTTCCCCCGCCATGTCTTTAAAATATGACAGTTTATTTTACCATCGTATTTTCAATGGAATTTTTGCACTAGGCTGTTGCATTGGTTGCTACTAACAGTGCTAGTGGTTACAATGATCTTTCATCTCGTTTTACACTTGAACAGCTAAATAAATGCTCAAATCTATTTAACTGAATGTATTGTAATTACATTACAACATCGATGCAGTAAAAACAACTTTGTGAAGTTGAAAATAGTCACATTAAGCTTTCACCGGAAGTTTATCGTTGGCTATAAGTGGCCAGCCCAGAGTCCTGAACTAAACATTATTAAAAATCTCTGGAAATTCCTTGGGGGGGAAAAGTGAGGAGCAAGAAACCAATACAGTCAGTGAACTGAGGAAGAGAGCAGACTGTTCAACTATTCGAGTATTACCTTGTACTTTAAACACGGGTGAAACATGTATCAGAAGAGTTTTCCATTGTGCCTTGAAACTGTTTATCATTTTAACAGGATAAAGCGAACAGAAATGTCATGTCAGCCTATGATTAAAGTCTCCCAGACCTTTGCTTCTCTGTTTTGCACTCACACACACTCTCAGTCTTCTCGTCCTCATTCTGTTAATGCGCCTTCAACTCTTCTGTGATAAATGTTTAGAGACTGTCCACTGCTAACAGAAAGTGCAGCGGTTCCTGGAAATAAGCTAACAGCTCGGAGATGCAGAGATGCAGTATCTCTGGATTTCTCAGCAGGAGAGACTGTGGTGTGTTTTTGGCTGCCCTCCAAACGCCTCATCCCAGCTGAGGTCAGGTTACCGAGCCGAGGACTCACTGCGAGAGGAGGAAATTAGATAAATCTACATTTCCTCTGTCCAAATAACACCTGAGTCAGCGCTCAGAGAGAGAAAGATAATGTAAAATATTAAATGTACGGTTTATGATTATTTATTATTGCTGTTTTTATTTAATATTTTTTGTTTATTGTATTTTTTATTGATGTTTGTTTTTTATCATTACTTCTATGTAGCCATTTTTTTTTGTTTTTGAGGACCTTATATTGTATAGACACAAATGTTGCAGCTAGCGTACAGTTTTAAGATTCTATCCAAAGCTATTCATTAGTTTTTTTTCTAAATTATGCAATGAATTGCCTGTCCTTCATTTTAAACATAATTTAATATCACTTGAATCTTTTTTTATTATTATAACATTTTAACAGTACAGAAATAGACATGCCAGGGGGTATTTATAAATTAAACACAAATATACAGAATGTACATATGTAATAATCAAATGAAAACATTGTAGAATTCACAAAGATTTAAAGTATGTAAGGCTTTAAGAGTCTGATACTACTAATGAGCAATTCAGTCATCAATACCTTACAATTAATTTTTTTTATTGGTAAATTTTGTTAGCAAAATAAGAAAACTAATTAAATAAAAACAAATTTCTCTTGACTAGGATACATAGTAAAGCCAAAAGGTTTCCCCCACAACAAAAAAGAGGTTTAGAACACTGAAAATTATTATTAATAAATTTATCACTCTGTCTCCTAGGTTCTGCGATTGCTTGTGGAAATTCCAAATTGAACCAAAACAAACCATTACAATTGGCTTAAGATTGGCAAGCAAAATTCGGGACATTGCATTTTACAGTCTATTATTGCAACCTGCAGAACCTGGGAACTTAAAAAAGTGTCCTCTGATTGCAAGGTTGCAGTGACCTCTAATGGATTAAATTGTACATTACATAGAATCTGATACTTGAAATTACATGTA